CTGGCCGCCACGCTGCTCACGGGCAGCAGGGTGATGTTGCCGTTGAGCGCCACGGGCACGTTGGCCACGTACTGCGCGCTGCCCGGCAGCCCCACGCCCTGCAGCGGCACGGCCGGCTGCAGCAGGTTGGGCATGGCCAGCAGGTTGCCGGCGCCCGCGCGCCCCGCCAGCAGCTGCTGGTTGGCGCCGGGCACCAGCTGCAGCTGCCCCGCCGCGTCCTGCTGCACGTTGACCTGCGTCGCCGGCGCCGGCGCCGCGGCCGCCGCGAACTGCAGCTGCTGCCCGTCGAGCGTCTGGAACTGCGGGATCACCTGGTACTGGATGTTGGGCAGCACCCCCGGCAGCCCCGCCAGCACCTGCTGGTTCTGCAGGTTGGAGGCGGCCACCACGTAGGGCCCGGCGCTGACGGGGCGGCTCTTGGCGTCGCCGCCGGCATCCTTGGACGGGGTCGGCGTGCCGGAGCCGCCGGCCAGGAGCTGCCAGCCGTTGGGCGAGGGCGCCAGCTGCGCGGCCGCCGCCGACAGGTCCAGCTCGCCCGCGCCGCCCGCCGCGCCCTGCGAGCCCTCCGAATTCTCCGTGGGAGACTCGATGCGGCTGCACGTGGCCGCCAGCAGCGCCAGCGGCGACGGCTGCGACTCCTGCCAACGGGAAGGGACCGGAGAGGAGGAGTCAGAGGCGCCCGGGCCGCCCCGTGGGCCGGCCGCGGAGGGGAAAACAGGGAAGGGGGAAAAAAACAGGGAGAGGCGGGAGGAGCCGGCTGGGAGGGGAGGAGGCTCCTTCCCGGGAAAACCCACCCACCGCCGGAAAAATCCGACTGTCAGGCTGGGAGCCGGGAGCCAAAGGCTCCGGCAGGGCGGAGGAGCCGGGCAAACCCGGGGCCCAAAGAGGGGGAAAGGGCCCTGGGACGCAGCTCTCCGAGGGAGGCGCCGGCGTTTGGGACGCGCGGCTGGGGAAGGCGGCGGGATGGGGAAGCAGATCCCGCTGGGAGCGGGGGCGTCACCTGGGCCTCGGCGCCGCTGCTGGTGCTGCTGGCGTCGCCGTCGCCCTTCTCGGCCTTCACCGGCGCCATCTCCTCGGGGCCCTCCTGGTCTGCGCGGGCGGCGCGGCGGGGCGTCAGACATTGCCGGGAGCCGGCTCCGGCATTCCCGGGAGGCGCCGCGGGCAGCGGCTCCCGCCGCTCCGGGCTTCCGCGGGCCTCCCCTTCACCCCCCACCCCAGGATCCACCCCCAAGGCAGGGGCTTCCCCGGCAGATCCAGCCCACCAGCTTCCCCCGGGATCCCCCTGCTGCTGGACAGGGAGGATTCCCGGGATCCCCTTGTCCACAGACAGGGCAGGATTCCCGGGATCCCCTTGTCCACCGACAGGGCAGGATTCCCAGGATCCTGCTGCCCGGAGCGGGCGGGGGGGCTGCTGCTAACTGCCCCCCCCTGCTCCTGTATCTGCCCCCC